CAGGAAATTTATATGTCAGAAAAAAAGTATTTTGAAAATCTACAGAGCAATATAGATAACTAAGGTATGATAAATCTTTTTCTAAACATGCTGCATCAATAAAAACTTCAGTGCAATTTGCACAGAAATGAAAATGAATGTGAACAATATGATTAGGCAAAGAACCATGCAGGCTTTCCTATTCTGTGGTGCTACAAATACAGTTGTTTCAAACAGTAGTTTCAAAATGGTAACGTACAGCATAATTCTTAAAAAAAAAAAAAAAAAAAAGTTTTCTTACCAGTAGGTGAAACAAAGTGATTAGTAATTTTATTTGGGATATTTTTACTTGCAATTTGACACATAAGGTCAGCATTTTCCCTTTCAGCAATCTGAGAGTGACATATGAAGCTATGCAGTCTCATGTGGCTCTCCATAACTCACACCAGTACCTCTATCACCAATATTTATTTATATTTTTATATAGAAATACAACTATGGTAAGCACTGTAGACATACACATAATGTACAAAGAAAAGATTTCTTTCTGACATATACTGTATATTTTTGAAAGCCTAGAGAACCAGCTATGAAGTGAACAATAAAAGACACTGCAATTACTACAGCTGTAGTCAAACAACGACTCTTCTTTCTATGCAGATGAACAGAAGACATGAGTTTCCTTACCTATTTTTATACTTATGCATCATACAACTGTGAGGTTGCCATACTTTTTCTCCAAGAAATCTCCCACTGGACAGAAGATACTCACATGTATCACCACCTTGAAAATGTTATATTACGATTAGAATTCAGCTGCATGAAATGTAAAACATAGCTCCACTGCTATTATAAAAAATAATTTGACAATATTTGAAACACAAGAATTGGAACAATCAATGGTAGTAAACAAATATAACTTATCATAAAAACATCCTGCACAAGTTTCTGCAAGTTGCCTTCTTGTTTATTATACCGCCCTGCTCTGTAAATCACAACCCTCTACCCAAAACGTTAGTGATCCCACTTCTGTTATCAGAAAGATGTTGTGACCTAGAATGGTATTTCCTTTAAAAGATGCCAATTCACTGTGCTATCTACTATCCAGAGTACATCGGAATATGAAATTAAAGAATACAATTGTTCAATATAATAATCTTCTACACAGAATCATCATGCACAGCATCTTGTATAGAACATGAATCTCAACATAAGATTGGGAAGAAAGTTTATTACATCTCCCTGCTTAAGACTTACCAGTCACCTTAGAACAGGTGAGTTAACCTGCTGGGTTAAAATGCAGAAAAAACCCAAAACATTTACACAAGAATTTGCTGATCATTAAGGACTTCAGGTACCTTTTCCACTCCTTAAGTTTTACAGTAATTAAGATTAATCACTTTACAGGTGATGATGTTTCAGTCATGTTAATTTCTTATAAATAAAGTTATGCAATCAGTGACTGTTATCTTCCCAACTCCACATCAGAATCTGCTGCCTTATAACTGAATGCAACAGAACACCATTCACTGCAAGAGAAGTTGCCCTCCAACATTTTTGTCATACTTGGCATTTCCGAGCACTGACAACCAGGGAAATGGTGGTGAATGAAATGGTAGGGACTTGTGCTGCTTGTGCAGAAACAATGTACTGCTGCCCCTACTTGACACTTTCTGTGAAACCTTGACTTCATTAAACTCAACTTATATTTTGGCTTTCAAGCAACACAATTTCTCTAATTCTCAAACATGCACACTTATGTAAACTATCATTTTGAGTAAGTTGCAGAATAATGAAACGGTCAGGAACAATAAAAAACCAATCTAATCAAAAGCAACATGACACATTCTCGCTGATAATGAGAATAGGTGACTCAGAGTTATTACTGCTACAAAGTCCGCCACTTTGCAGATGATGAAAACTAGGAGATGTATCAAAGTGATATGAGTGAACCATATAAAAGAATATCTATCACTAATCAGATTCCCTCTGAAATCCATTAACTTGCTGAAAAAGATACATAAGGAAATAGGAACAATTATTCATGGTCAGACCAATGGTCAGTCTAGCCTTCAACAGGGGCCATAAACAGATGCTCAGAGATGAATAAGAAGAAGGCAAGTAAACATTATGATCTTGTCTAATATTCTTCCAACTATGTTTAGTCCAGGGACTTCCTCAACTGGACATGCAGTCCTCAGCTTTTGGCATCCAGAGCATCCTTCTAAAAGAGTTTTCCATACCCACAGCTGATGCTTGAAGAATCACCTGCCTTTATTTTAAATGCAGTTTCTACTATTTACTTGGCAGTCCCTTGTTCTTCCATAGGAAAAGGCAGTCTGGACTCATGTCTATTATGATCTGTAGACCACTATCAATCCTCCCTCATTTAGGTTTTCAAGACAGAAGAATATCTGTATCTTGAGTTCATGACCCAAGCTTGGTTCCTCAGTACTCCATAGTTACCCACAAATGAAACAATCCTCCATCTACAGTATGTTCACTGATGTAACATTCCAAACATCACACATTGTATACATTTTAAACAGAGAGACAATATTTCAGGTCAAGAAGTTACACCTTCCCTCCCAACTCCAGGTACTGAATATCTTACTGTTGCACTGAGCAATATTAGAAAGCTCCAGAAACTCATTAGGAGAGTTACTGATGTCTGAAATCTTCCTTTAAACATAATAGTAGAAGTCATGAGGAGAAGATGAGGGAGGGGAATAAAACCAGACTGGAACAGCAGCCAAGAAAGTAAACTGGAGGTTACAGACCAGACAGTTCCTCCAGAAATGCCCAAGTCTGGCTTAGGAAATGAAATATCAGCTGAAGAACAATGCTCATATTAATATACCACACCCTTTTCTTAGCCAGTAATGAGATGTTAAAAGAAAAAAACCCAAACACAACAACAAAAAACCCCAACCTAAAACCTGAGAAAAAGAATTCCAAGAGCCATTCTATACACAAAACACAGAACATTCTTCTTAAACTCTTCCTTTGTGTAAGTTATCCTTCCAACATATTACCTTTTATGTTGGTATAGCTACACTACAGTATAGTTATACAAAGTGTATAATTTCTCTGAATTTTATTATGCTCATTATTCTAATTTATCATTCCTCAAAATCATGGTTATTCCACCAAAATTGTGAAATCTCTAAGTCTTCATTCAGTCCAAACAGACTAAGTTTCACAATGCTTTCTCTAAAAGGCACACTCTCTGTTTCGAAAAATTGGAAATTCAATTGTTCTCTATCATTCAAAATAAAAAAAATGTAGTTTTAAAGAGAATCTACTAGTGCTGCTGGTGACCCATAAATATAAGTTTCCCTGACCTTCCATAACCCCAGTCCAGCATTTTTTCATACAATTAACTTTAATACAGGCAAGTTTGACTGGGAATTGCACTGGGCTGCTCCTATCTATAATATGTACTTGCATGACTGAGGCCAAAATTAGCTAAAACCTTTACATGTAATGACAATCAGACAAAAGAAAAAGCATAAAAGCATGAAAAGCACAGCAATCCCTTCCCTGGCAGAGCCCAGCTTTCACAGCCTGGTAACTTTGAGCCTGTTTGCAGGCCCACCTCATCCACCCTCTGCAAATCAGGACAACATTTTTTGGGAGTATTTTTGGTATAAAATCTTGGTACAGAATGTCTTGTGTAGAAAAAAAAGTGCTTTCTTCTGATAATTTTAAATATATTGCCTGCTAATTTCATTTTTCAGTTGATACTTTTTGTGTTATGACACAATCACAACGAATTTACCTTTCCCCAATAATTTGTAATATTTGAGACCATTAACAAGTTACTAAGTTTCTGTTCAGGCTACAGAGTTTCATTCCATTTCATTACTTCTTATAGAGAAGCTGTTTGATTCTTCTGCTGTTTGTGTTACTCCTTTGTTCATGCTTTTCAAGTTCTATTATACCACTACTAAGAGGAGGTGACCAACACCACTAACAATAAGTGAGGTGCCAGTTAGCTTTAGTTGTGCAGTATCACAGTAAAATCTGCTTTTTTCATTAGTTGCCAAGAGTATTGTGACATTTGCTGGACTTCAGATGTCTGATATCACCGCAGGGTTGCAGAATGATTTCTCAAGCACCTCTGCTTTTATCTATCCCAAAAACTCTTGTCTGCTACAAATCTTCCACCCTCCTTTCCTAAACCACTCATTCTTCTGAATGCTACTTGTTCAAAGAAGCCCAAACTGGTAACTCTCTATTCTCTCTGACTTCCATGTCCTCCTACCTTTTAAACAATTACAGGAAAACCTCTCACCCTCTAATTGCTTCAAAAAACTAAAAGATTTAGGCAAAAAAAAACTTGTTGAAAGGTTTGTAACAATCCATACAGACTATATCAACTCACATAAAGTCCAGTAGACTCTCACCATTTTGAATCTGTGACTCACCCCTCTAATTAACTCTCCCAAAATATATTGAAATTATGCATATTTTAGTTTCCCTGTAACCTGCTTGACATGGCAGTCCCTATTCTCTTAGGCTGGTCTTGCCACCCTCCTCCTGTCTAGTTTTGTGACTCTCTTGTGCCTTAAGAACACTGCACAACAGGCAAGTTTAATTCCCTCATGCTTGAGCTCCTCTAGAATTTAGTAAATGCTTCTGTGTCTTCCAACTTAACACTAGTCAGTTTATCAGACTTATTGACATGCCAGCCAGAGGGTGAACCTGGGGAACTGTATCCATAAAGATCCCTACCCCCTTCCCCATTTCCACAGCGAACTGCCTCAGCCTTGCCTTGCATGGATGCTGGCAGCAGGTGTTAGAACCCGACACCATTTGTCCTACAACAAGCACAGCCGCAGTGATCTCTCTATGGATCAACTTTCTGATTTGCCCACAGAAACATACCACATTTTTTAGCGTGACAAGGAAACAAGAAAATATTTCCTTCAGCATTTCCATTTGCATTTACGGATCACGCCAAGATTCGCTGCTCCGAGGCCAAAACAACCCCGGAGAAGCGGAGCCGGCGGAGCTCCCAGCGCCCCGTGACCGCGGCGCCCCGTGCAGAGGCGGGCACGGGCACGGCTGCGGTCGGTCCCGGAGCTCGGTCACCGCCTGTTCCACGGCCACTGACAACGCGTGAAACCGAACAGCTCCTCGGCTCGCTTCATCTGCCAGCGCGGCCGGACTCTGTTATGTTCGAGGCGATGGTTCAAGGAGTGAAATTACGTACACCAAGTCTCATACCAATTAAGACTTTAACCACTAATTGCCAAGGTAATTAATCATCCCGTAAGGGAACAAGTGACAGGGAAGAAGCCACCTTCTAGCCCTGCAGCTTCACCTGCCGCAGGCCGGGCCCCGGGAGCTGCGCTGCGCTCTCGGTGCAAACACCGCATCGCCGCGGCCCCGCCAGCCCCGCTCACCCCCCTCGGCCTCGCCCGGATGGCGGGAACTGCAGTGACCCCCCGGTCGGGCCCCGCGGGCCGGGTCCCCGCTCGTCTCCCGCCGACCTGCCCCGCCGCCCCGGCCCGCCGGGGAAGGGCCGCGCTTGCCACCTCCGCCGCCCCCCGGCCCGCCACGGCTGCCCCGGGCGGGGGAACCCGCCGCCCTCCCCGCACGGCCGCGGTCCCGGGGCTCCGCCTCCCCTGCCCGGCAGCCGCGGCCCCCCGCGGCGCGCCCGCGGCCGCCCCCTCACCTCGATAGCGGCGGGAGGCGGCGTGGCAGGCGGTGAGGAGCAGGACGGCGCCCAGCGCCAGCGCCTTGGCGCTCCTCACGCTGAAGTAGTAGTTGATCTCCCGCTTGCCCCCGGTGTAGGCCAGCGCCGCCATCTTGGCTCCTCCATGACAACAGCGTGCGATGGGGCGGGCGGGCGCGGCGGGGCAGCACTGGGTCCCCGCCGGCGGCCAACGCGGACCCCGCCGGCTGCCGCCGTCCCCGCCGCCGCGGCCGAGAGCAGCCCCACGCCCCGCTGCAGCCGGGGCGGAGCCACTGCCGCCCTCCTGGCGCTGCCGCTTCCTCTCGGCCGCCAGCGGGCGGCCCCAGCGCTCGACTCCCCGCCCCGCGGCCGCCGTGGGGCTGCGGTGGGTGCCGGTGGGTCCCGCCCTGCTCGGTCCGGGCCCCGCGGCTGAGGGGGCGGTGGTGGGGACCTCGTTGGGACCGTGCTCCGTGAAGGAGTACCCTATGCGTGACGGCTGGCACTGGACAGTGAGAGCTTCTTGCTAAATAATGCGATTTTAAGTACTTGTCACTCTTCTATTGACAAGGGAGTGGTCATTCCAGGCTGGGAGACGCTCACTCCCTCTGAACGCGGGTAAGTGTACAAGGAAGTTGACACAATCACAGAATCAATAAGGTTGGAAAAGATGTCTGAGATCGAGTCCAACCTATGACCCAACACCACCATGTCAACTAAACCATGGCACTAAGTGCCACATCCAGCCTTTCCTTAAACACCTCCAGGAATGGTGATTCCACCACCCCCCTGGGCAGCCTGTTTCAATATCTAACCATCCTTTCTGTGAAGAAACTCTTCCTAATGTCCACTTAAGCCTCCCCTGGTGCAGTTTAAGACTAAGTCTTCTTGTCCTATCAATAGTTGCCTGGGAGAAGAGGCCAACCCCCATGGATTTAGCTGGATTTGAGGGGATACATGAAATGATTGCTGAAGTCTTACAAAAAGGGAAATCCTGTTCCTCCACAAGCAGCTGCCTGAGTTGTACCTGGGAAAAGATACAGGGCAGCAAATCTGGGCTCTGAGTCCAGTCCCTCAACAGCAGGGGAGTTGGGAGGCAGCCACTGAACCCTCCAGGCCCGGAGCAGGACAAGCTGTCACAGGAAAGACATTTCCACAAAATAAAGTAACCACATATAAACCATATAAACAAATATAGAACTTAGGAAAAGTGTGCAGTACACAGTCAGATAAATATGGGAAACAAATATGGCAAATAAACAGTGAGCAGTTGCCAAGCCTTGGGTGATTATGAAGTACGTACTGTGCTAGACAGATTCCCTCAGATCCAGCAGAATTCTTTTCATTAGGATTGGCCGGAAAAAAAGGAACAGAAAAAATGTTGTTTATTTTGGTTTTTTTTAACCGAACAGGTAAACAATAATAATGAACAATCTGGGTTCTGAACACACAAAAAGTTCCATTTTCATTTCACCAACCTTCCATTTCCCTGTCATTCAAGAAACGCTACTCTGGAAGTTCTGAAAATCATTGAATTTGATTATTCATTTAATAATAGATGAAAAAAATAACTGTGTGTGGGGGGGAAAACAGTGAAATATTTGAAACAAAAAACAGGAAGTCTATCCACTCAAGCAATGTTTTATTTTGAAATATTACCTGAATAAACACAATGTAATGTGCATGCAAAATTTAAGTTCAGGTATTCCTCTATTACTATATGTTCAATGTATTGATATTGATATGTTCATTTCCATCCAACCAATGTCTTTACTATCTGCTGACATATAATCTATATTTTTTTCTATTCAAGTATGCCTGTTAATCACTTTCTCAGCATTGTTTTTAAATTATAAAAACACTATATTAAAGTGCTTAGGTTTATTCTCTCAGGGATAGAGGGAGAAAAGGTATCCCTTAAACTCCAAAGTATACAGATGGGTGGTTACTGGGTTATGTTTTTCTTAAAAAAAAAAAAAAAAAAAAAAGGCAACAAAACCAAACTAAAATGACAACAAAAATCCAAACAAACCAACCACCTCAATTCTGGTTGTAGTATGGGTTATTTTACTCCATAAATGAAAAATTCCCATTGATGCATAATTTTTGTCTCATGTATCATTCAAAAAGCCAAGAACTTTCAAAGCCTTCATACTGTGAACAAACTTTATTGTTTGTTAAAATATTTCTGTTAGTGCTTAGCTTTCTTTGTCCTCATTTCACATGCATTTTACACTTTAAGGAGCAATTTAAATATTTTTTAACACCTCTAACTGAAAACACTCACTAGAATGCTGGTAATTTACTCATAAGTTAGAATAAGGTGAATGAGGAGGAATGGCAAATTTCTATTCAATTTAGAAAATAAGTTTAAATTGGATAGATGTAATTTACACAGGTATAATTTAGATGAGATAGTTCTTCCTTTAATGCTTCCTGACTTAGTTTGGCAGGCTCAGTGTACATAGAAGGAGAACTTTGTGCCATGGGTCAGACCTGGCATGCACATACAATTTTGCTGATAAGCTTCGTTCATGGTAGATCTCCTTCAGCATTACAGCATTACTCCATGTTCTGGAGTTGGAGCTGCTGTCCTCAGTCAAAGGCACAAGGCAGTCACAAGGACTGGAAACATGTAAGAAGATAAAATGGCTACTATAGTATAAAGTCAGCTATTATAGAGAGCTGGTATTTAAACATTTTCAGTCAGAGGAATAGTAGGGCATTCTCATATGATATTTTCCCTTTAAAGTTTTTATATGTTTATAAGAGTGTAATTAATTTTTCACAAGTATATATAGCAAGGAATATAAGGACCAATGATGGAAGAAAAATTAAATTACCTTTAATCTATAAGTTTCATGAGGAAAATATTCATGTGTTCATAAGGAACATACTATTTGTTGTATAACAATCCTAAACATTTACTGGTCAGATTACGTGACCAATACATCTGTTCTAGAACAGGCAGCAGTCACAAGTATAGAGGCCATGTTGCTGAGAACACAGCTGTGCTGGGCAGGGCACGTCTCAAAGATGAAGGACCACCGCCTCCCTAAGATCTTGCTTTATGGTGAACTTGCCACCGGCTGCCACAAGAGAGGAGCCCTAAAGAGAAGACTCCCTGAAACAACATCTCAGCCTTGGCCATATTGATCAACATAACTGGTCTACTCTGGCCTCCAATGGGGAGGTCTGGAGACACACCATCTACAACACTGCTGCTTCTTTTCAGAAGGCAGGGTCACTCTCAAGGAGAAAAGACAACACGGAAAGAATCGTGTCTTGCAGAATATACCACCTAAGGAGTCTTTCTGCTGTGCCTTTTGCAACTGGACTTGTCTATCTCGTATTGGCCATTTTAGCCAAGTGCGCTTGTAAAAAACGTGGGTAGAGCCCTTCCCAAATCTTTGTTCACGAAGCCCAGCCGTGATGATGATTTGTTATATACAATAACTGGAATATTCCCTACATTAACTTACAGGTTAAGTGTTGAATAATTAATTAGTAGGATTTGCCATACCCCAAACCATATCACTTCTCAATTTAAATGGAGAAGCATTGCTGGATTGTGCCGGTCATATTGCAATTCCAGAAATAAAGCTGCATTTCCAACATGTTCCTAGACAGTGTATTATTTTCAGCAGTGCAGCTTTTGCTTTGGCAGCTTTTGTGTATTCACCAAATGATGGCATCGGACATTTTAACTGCTGAGTTTTCAGCCTCATAATGGCAATCAATTTTTCCTAAGCGTCAAGTTTCCATGTGGTGTGTGCATGCATGGTAGTCACCTATTTCAAATATTTAATTGCATTAATGAAGAGGGAGTACAGATAGTAAGAAAGTTTTTTCTCAGTGGACTTGTTCAATTAAGCACTGTAGCCTGTGTACTGTTGCAGCCAAATGCTAAAACAAATATGCCCCCAAACTTGTAAGATCTTGGAAGTTCTATCACAAATTACTGTTTTTACAGATTTCTAATTTTGTAAAAGTTATAAAAATGGTTCCTCAACAGTCTGTACTGAAGTCAAGCTGATATTAGGTGAAGTAGTTATGAAATCACATGTATGAAGGCCATACTTAACTTTATCCCTAAGAGATAAATACATCTGCAGTTCTATAATATGAAGCTTAATAGTGCTTTTGTTTAGGGTTTCTGTGCGTCCAAAACAGATGTGGATTGGAGTGATGAAGACAGGAAAAGGAAATAGGCAGACTGCAAATGCTTATGTCATCTGTCCCCTTTCATTAAGGACAGTCAAGGGACTACACCTTTCTGCATCATGGGTTGTGTCATCTCTGTGCAGCTACACAGTTCTGAGTCCAGGCTGGGACTCTGCTCAGCTCACTAATGCAAATCTATTTTTCTTTCAGCTGCTTAGATTCTTATCCTCGAAGCTTTGTATCCATCAGGGTTATGGGTTAAGAATTTTCAATTTAGATGAGTTTTTTTGGTATTCAGGTACAATTTTTTTCTATTTCCCCCCTCTCTTTTCTTGACTCCTGGTTGAGGGAAAATGGCAGTCACTGTTAGTTCCTTGTCAAATTGAGTAATTCTTTTTTTATCAACACTTTGTTTTCA